GTAATGTTGTAGCTATTTAATTATTTCATTTATAATTAATTAATTTGAATTCCTGTTTTGAGTACTTATATTCTATAACTTGAAATAGTAGAGCAAAATATAGACATGTTCATAGCATATCGATCAGAAGGAGAAAGATCGAAAATATAAATAATTTGGTATTCGATATCAGTGATGATCTGATTCTTTAATGGTCAAATCAGAATAAATTAGTCGTCATCACTACTGTGGGCAAAATTATTATTATGTAACAAAATTATGATGATTTTTTCCTTCTAATTGTTGATCAAATAAGCATAATTGTATTCATATACATATGAATATACAGAGATAAAATAGTTAAAGCCATTTTATTACTCAGATTATATGAATAATATCAAGCAGAAATTAGTTTTTATTATTGCAATAATTTAAACTTGCTAAGTTATTTGAAAAGAGTTAGCAAATAATTATAGAATTTATTGCAATATCATTTAAGTACTATATTATGGTGATATTGAGAATTATTTACAATAATTGTGAAAAATATTGTGTTGCAAATTAAAAAATTCAAGTTAAATTGATAAAGAATTTGAATACTCAATTTTAGATTTTAAAAAAATTAATGTAATTAAATACTGTAAAAAAATGTCATCAGGATGATATAATTTGTGAAAGTCTGCTAATAAGTTATTATTCTTTCAATCTGTTTTTAAGTAACAATTAGTTATTATTACTTATTATCCAATCAATAGGACATATTTGTACACACAAGATAATTAATTAATTAATTATTAAAAAGTAATATTTTCTTGATTCAAAATGAATTATAATAAGATATATTCAACATTAAATATAAAGTGGCGTATTTTGCATACCAATTATTGCTTATATAATGCAGAAATACCATCAATTTTACTCAAAATGCTTTCAATCTGTTTTTAAGTAACAATTAGTTATTAATTATTACTGCTAACCAATGACTCAAGAAGAATTAGAATATTCTTAGATGGAAAAAAGAGCAAAAAATTAAGCATATCTGCTGAGATCGATTATCGTAATTAAGTTTATTTATTCATTTTTACCATAACCATTATTATCATTGGTATTGATTGTATTAGTAATATGATTGTTATTATTAATTATACTATTATTGACAATATTATTATTATTATTATTATTATTATTATTATTATTATTATGAGGACATGCGGCAAGAATAGCTGAGATAATGGATGGTTCGAGAGTTGCTTTGGAATCAATGAAAGTTAAAAGTTGTTGATAAGCCAAAGCTTGTTGAGCACATTTTAAGCAACCATTAAGTAATACAATTTGATCTGAATAATCTGAAAATATTATCAAAAAAGTAACTTACACTAAATGTGATTTTTGATAAATCATATCAAATTTAATTTATGATCACATATTATCGACAAAAGCTAAAAGTTATTCAGAAAATAACTCAGAATGACATCATTTATCAAATTAATTACAAATGCAAAAATTACAGTAATCAAAGTTCAATTTTAAATAACCAAAGTTTCAATATTTTAATAATCGATCAATTTTATAGAGATATGAACAATAAATATTATGTGTGAAAATTACCATGATTTCTTTTGTATTTGAAAGTTTGTTATTTTGTAAAATTAAAAAAGGGAATACTTTTATGGTTGCGCAAATTGCTATTGTCATGCAATGTATCCAAAATTTTTTGTTTCTTCTGTCGTCTTCTTAATTTAATCTAAAACATTGAACAAAGTTAGAGTGTTTTAAAAAATTAATTTGAAATTGATAGAATATGAGAAATTATACAAGTTTTTGCTTAGAACTACAGAAGTTAAGCAGTACGTCACCTGATCAGCTATTAGAAAAGTTAATCAGTACATCACCTGATCAGCCATTAGTTTTTGTCGTTCTTGAACAACCTGACATTTAGCACATGGACAATCTCGAAATGGACAGCAACGCTTGTGTCCCTTCAATCGAGCTAGGACTGAATGTTGCGCACAACGTTGACAATTTGGACGTCGTTCTAAGAATATCACAAAATTACTTGAAGAATATTCAATATTGAAAAGTAATACTATTACTGTAATAAAAATTACAAAAAATGAAAAAAAAACAAAAAAATTTCAAGCTTAATTATTTTAAATAATATGAGTTACATATTTTATCAAAATAACCGTAATCTACCCTTTCCTTTAATGCTTATTGATGAAATGGTTTGATCTGATACTGTAGGCAACAATCTAATATTTGGAAATCGTTGAGCTGTTCCTGTGGAAGTTCCATTACTTGGTAATATTTGTGAAAAAGATGATGATGATGATGATGATAGTGATGATAATGATACTGATGATGGTGAAGATGACGATGGTGGAGGTGGTGTTGGTGATGATGTATTCTCGATTTGTAACAAGCGTGAGTTAAGTTCTCTTCGTTTATCCACCATCTAATTTTAATCGAAATTATTATGTATTGCCACACTTTCAAAAACTAATTATAATTTAAAAAATGATGATTTTAATTTATAACAAAATATTATTGAATATTAATCTTGTATGCAATTAAATATCACTGGAATATACTGAATATTGTAAGACTAAATTGGGATATGTGGTCATAATTTATAAATTAATGCAAAAAAAAAAGTATTTTAAATAGATCTATTTTTCCATGACTATCTATAATTCTCATAAGAGTTTACCCGGTGGCTAGTATAAGTTTAATTATATTGCTGATTAGATTAATACATTATTTATTGATCTAAGTAGCTTTATGATTGGACTAGTACAGTAATCCATGCATCTTTATCTGCTATAAGCAATCGTAGATATAACATTTCCCGTAATTTACTTGTAGACAAATTTCAAAACAGTAACTATTTTTATATCGTACCGAGAATAAGATATTTTATAATATGCTAAAATTATGTAAATATAATTTACTAATAAGTGGAATATTTCCACTTCATAGTTTTTTAAATCACAACATTGCATCTTTAGCATTTATTTGTATAGTACAATATGATATTTTTGTGGAAGTATAAAATGCATTTAAAGTTATAAAGTATGGAATATATTCAAAATTTAACAATGCATACTGTATAAATTTGTTGATTGTAATCCAAGTGAACGATTGCAAAAAATTATCGAAAAGCAATAAAAAAACATTTTGAGCATATTTTTGTGTTGATATTGATTTTGATAATCATACCTGGCAATCATTGCATGTGCAGAATCGATAAACGCATTCTAATTTATGATTTTTGCGTCTTACTTCTAAACCGTGATTCAAACATCGCTGACAGTAATACACTCTTTTTTCACCAAATAATTCAGGCAAAATTTCTTCAATATTCATTTCATATGCAAAATTCACTGAAAATTAGCTTTTCTCCCTTTTAATTCGAAAATTGTACATAGGTCAGAATTAAAAAATTGTTATAACATGAAAACATGAACGAATTCTTAGCAATACGTTGCATGATACTGTAAGACTTATAAAATTGCCTTACAATTTGAAATTAAAATTTTCAGAATTAAAGGTCAAAATTATGACTATGAAATAATCTTATTTTTTAAGAATATCTAGGTAAAGCCAAAGACTTCAAGTCATCAAAATCACCAGTCTAATAAATACTAATGTTTTTTTATTGCTAAGGTTATTGATAATTAATTAATCCAAAGTTCACGTATATTTACAAAGTGTTTATGCCGTTGATGGAATAAAATAATGGCCACAAATCTATTATCAATAATTTAAGCAATCTGTTATCAATGAATCATGGCGAAACTTATTTTTTATCAAGCATTTTGGTAGTTAAAATTTTAAATACTACACAATTTCCTTTTTTGCTATTTCTTTTCAGTTATGACTGAAAATTTGAATTTAAATTTAATTAAATTCTAAATTATAGTAAAACATGTTTTAGGTTAATTTCAGTTTTCAATTCATTCAGTCTTCAATTGCTGCTATGCTGTAAAGCATCGCTGCTAAGACTTTAATACTAATTAAGTTAAAAAGCATGTTAAATCCAAGTTTCTAAAGAATTACAAAATGCAAATTTTTTGATAACGAATTTATGTGAACAATTTCAAATGTTAATATTACGGTCATCTGTGGACTATGAAGATGCAAGTAAAAGTTAAATTTTAATTTGCAAAATTAATTGTGGTGATATTTCGATTTACAAATTTTCATTTCTGTGCTATGAAAAGTATTTCATATCTTCATGTACTGAAGGTACTGTTTTATGATGATTCAATTACATAAAAGAATACATTTTATTCCTTTTTTAATTGTTTGAACTGAAAATAATACGGTAAATATGTGTTTAGAAAAATGTTAAATATTCGGGTGATGAAGTTTCACGATCAATTAATCTAAATAATTTAACGATATAAGAAACTTGCAAATGTTAATAGACCTTAATACTTATGAGAATTGAGAAGTGTGAAGAAAATCTAAAGGATAAAGGTCAAAAAATGGCAGAGATTAAAGGGAAAATCAGAGGACCATGCAATTACATGAGCAGCTTGATCTAATTAGCAAGCTTTAACTAATAGTTTCAATTATCACTACTAACAAAAACGGTAATTTGAAATGAAGTTTTATTTATATTCTAAATTTATTTATATTATTTAGAAATGCTACTGACCTAAATTAATATCAGTGTGCGCACTAAATTTGATCGTATCACTAAATGCATAATTATTTCGTTAAAAAATTAAACGAAATACTTATTCATTTAGAGATACGATTGAATTTAGTGATTTGATCTAATTGACCAGCTCGATCTACACAAATCATTTATACTTATTCAAGCCAAATTGCCATTTTTTTTAAACATTGAAATTAATCAAAAATAGCATAAATATACGGTATAAAATTAGATTTGTGGAATGAAAACAACTTTTGCAGTAGTGCTAATTTGACTTCAACAGAAAGTAATTTTAACACAGCTTTGCTACTAAGAAAGAAAAACAATAACAATAAAATAATATGCAATTTGAGTGGTAGAAAAGCAATAATTATGCTCAAAAGCAAGAATTTGCATATAAAACCATTGCATGCAAATTTATCCGTCTATTTCTCTTACCATTTATTTTTTTGCCGCTTATTATTCCACCCTTTTCTGCAATCTTTTCTACTCTCCACTTATTTGTCTTATTATAATTTAAATAAGCTAATTTTTCTCAATAAAAAATTATCAAATTTAAAAATATAGCAAGGAATTTTAAATGAAACTTAATTTATAAAAATTAACAAAAACTTTCTTATTTAAGGAAAAGAAGGAAATAAAGAAAAAGAAAGATGAAAAAAGAAAGAATGAGAAAGAAAAAGAGAACAAAAGCAAAGAAGGAGATAGTAGTTACAGTAATCCAACAAGGTTTTAGAGAAAATATGAATGCTATATTTATTAGCTTCTCAGCAAACAAGTTTTATGTTTTTACTTTTGAATTCTTTTTTCGCTAATATTCCAATTCAACTTTTATGCTTGAAAAGATGAAAAATAACTCATGCAAATTCATGTTATTCATACAAATTGGCATTATTCTTGCAAATATTAAGCAAAGCTTGATATTTAGAATACAATTTATGTAAGGTAACAACGCAAGAAAAATTACACTTTTCTGTTTCCTATATTCATTATTTCGTTCCTATTTTCAAGCATTTATTGTATCAGAAATTATAAAAAAACACAATGATCTGTTGCTGATATTATTACTAATATTGATTCTATAATCATTTTTTAATCAACAATCATGAATATGGTAATGATCAAATTATAGTAATAATCATGTTATAATCAAATTATAGTAACATTCATATTATTTATCATGATATTCAAAAATATCATAAACATTGCATATCAATATAATTTTCCTGTTCACAATTAATTTCTACTGTGTATTTTTTTGAAATAAAATTTTATGCTATGCTCAAGAAAATAACAAAATCTGAATTTATATTCGGATTCAAAATATTTGACTTGACATATTCACGTCAAATATAACGCTGAATTATGGGTAAAAGCGTTTAGTACCTCAGAACTGTCACTTTTCAATTCCATCTATAAGTCTCTAATTGAACTTTTGATCATTTTGCTGTTCATTTTCTACTTATAAGCAAATTGAACATGCATATAAGAAATAACAAAAAAGTTTTGACTAAAGATTATCCATCAAATATCTATTTATCTATTTTACTATTTAAATTTGAATTTAATATTTCTGAAATTAGAAAATATAAAAAGTAATTTTGCATGAAGCTCGCATTTAATGAAACTTACGGTAAGTGTTTAACAGGCATGAAATTTCCTCAGTATGACGCAACTTAAGTTGTTTGAAAAACAAAAATAGAAGTATAAGCTAATAAACAATTGCTGTAATAGTCTACCAAAAATGGCATATATTTAAACTGCAAAAAAAACTTAGAAAAAAAGGGAAATTGCTTTTTCGATAACATTTTAATTTTAAACACTCTCTTATTTGGCTTTATTTCGGTGCAGAAACAATTTTAGTTTCACGTGAAATATTATTTAAAGATTAAAACTATTAAATATAGTAACTTAATTCTCAAACGTGAAAGAGTATAGCTTTACGATCATTGCAAATTTATTTGCTTTTATACTTTCTTGTTTTATGTCAACATTTAAACTCATTTTCATTAAATTAATTAAAATCAATTAAATATGCGCCTATTTACGAATTTGTGAAAAAACCGGCAACTGATACAAAATTTACTTAATTTGCGGTACATCTGATCATTCTTTGGCAAGTATTTTATGAATAAATCCAAAGGTTGCAAGAACCAATATCAGAATAGGTCAATTTCTAGTACTGGTCAGAAAAACTTTACTAATTTGATAAATTAAATTATAGATGAAAGAAAAAAGCTCATGAATGCAATTTGCTCCGAAGATCACGCGTTTGTTCTTTATATTATCAAAATACAAGTTTTGCACACGTAATTTGAAAAATTAAATTAAAAATGAAAATTATAATTTGAGTTTTCAGTTTTAAATAATTGATTCCGTTTATTTGAAAGTTTATAATTTTGTCATTTGTTGTAACAGTACACGTTCGAACTCTGAAATACTAATTGTTTCAGTTTAAATTTAAAGATGTTAAATAGTAGCAAGCTGGTAATCAAAAATACATTCTTTTCAGAAATAATAACACCGACTATTCATACGGTATTTAACATTTATTTAGGCTTTTTTTAAGGAAAATTTTCACATTTATATTGGAAAAAATTATAAAATATTGAAACATCATAAGAAATGCGGAAGTCATTAATCCTTGAATCTATGCAAATATCTGGTCAAACTTTCGCATACGGTAGTTAGCTTTTTCAAACTTATCGATTACTTTTTTATCTAATTGTAAAAACGTCTAGCCAATAAGATTCAAGAAAGATTTATTTTCAAGATATAATTGAACGAAAATCGATGAATAAAGTTTAGTTTCGCAGAAAGATTAAAAAGTATTTGTTTTATTCAAACAAAAAAAATGATTTTGTTAAAAAATCAAAAAAAGTTTAAAAATAATCAGATTTATATTTCTCAATTTTCGATGATCACTTAATAAATCCAAAAATTAAACTCACAAATCACAATTAATGCAATTAATGTATAATTTATTAATTTTGATTCATAAATTCTGATGATTATTTTGAGTATAAATTTTGACTCCAAAAATGAAACCAACAAGCCATTTAAAGAATGATTATTTTGTCACAAAAATTCAATTCTCGCATTTGACTATTATTGAGATTCACATTATTCAACAGTTCAGATATTTTTTTCAATTCAATATTTATAGTTTTTGTCAAAAACGAGGTCACAGAATTGACTTCATATTTTTAGACAATCATTCGGTACTAATACCGCGTATTTTTTATTAAGTATCACTATTAAATATTACATTTACAATATCTCTTATTCAAATTCTTCAGGAATTTGAAATTAGCATAAATATATAGTAATTATACGAATCAGAATTTAATTGATCTTCACAGTCTAATTTGATTAACTCATGAATCAGATACAGTCCAATCAGGTCTCTAGTCTCTGATTCCTGGCAATCAATATATATGTTAAAGTATATCAAAAGTATATTAAGTCGTGATTTTAGGCAAAAATGTCTGTTTTAACAATCAGAATTTAATTTTTTTCCAGTCATGCAAGAAAAGGAATCAGTAACTTTCTGAGCAAATATTGAGATTCACTGTAGCCAAAATTGATTCCAAGATATTCAGATTCATCATAAATGTAAAGAATCGTAACGTTTTCATGGGTACATGAATTTATAATTAAATGTCAAGGACAATTATCAAAAATCAGTAAATGAATAGAT